GGGAGCCTGCTTCTCCCTCTGACCCTCCCCCCTCTCATGTGCTCTCTCTCTCTCATTCTCTCTGTCTCAAATAAATAAATAAAATCTTTAAAAAAAAACAAAAAAAAACCTGCTCTAAAAGATTAAGTCTATTTAACAAATTTTTAAGAAAGGAAATTACTATTTTAGATAGTTTAGCAGAGACCTGAATATAGTGAGGGAGCAAGCCACAACGGTATCAAAAGGAAAAAGACAGTATGGCTGGGGCTGGGTGATCTGGGCAAGGGGAGGGTACCCTCAGAGAGGCAGCCAGGGCCAGCGTCACCGTCAACATAGGCTTCTGACGTGCTTGGAAGCCTCAAAGCATTCTACATCAAATCACGTTTAGGAGGTACACTTGACATTTAGCTGATAAACTGCTTCCATCAGAAAGATCATTCAGGCAGCCCTACAGAGGTAGCCCAAACACTAGACATAGCATGTGCCCAACAGAGTCCATCTTTGTTCCTGTGCCCCTCACGGCTTCCATTTCCCACATGGTTCTCTTTTCCCGTAAATGGTGTCCCCGTCCCAACTTCCCCCACTGTCTGACGTAAGCCAGAAGGTTGGGAGTTGTTTAAATGAGTGCATCCCAAAATGTGGCAGGAGATCCATCAGTGTGTGAATTGCTAATTTAAAATTCAGGTGGCATCATCTCTATACCTTAGACCTTCAGAACCAGAAGCTCTGAGCGCAGGCCCAACAACTTAACATTTTTAACAGGTCTGCGAGGTGCCGTGAAAACTTGAGAACCACTGATCTAAATCACCTTCTGTCCCTTACTTTCAAATTGGATCTGTTCCTGAGTCCTTTGTGATCTAGCGCAGGAGTGTCTTTTTGGTGTGTCTGTGTCTCTTGGTCGGTAACTGACATGTCTCCCTCAGATGTTGCAGTGGCGTCTTGACTCTTCTCCCTGTGTTCGCACATCTCCTTCTCCAGTCCAGTTTTCATCTTCTGTATTAAAATAAATCTAATTGTACCATGCCTCTGCTTAAAATCCTCTAGTGTTGCCTCATAAATTAAAATAAATTCCAAACAGGGGCACCTACGTGGCTCAGTCGGTTAGGCATTCAACTCTTGGTTTCCAGATCATGATCAGGTCATGATCTCAGGTCCTGGGATAGAGCACTGCGTGGGGCTCTGCACTCAGTGGGGCGTTGGCCTGAGGATTCTCTCTCTCTCTCTCCTTCTCCCTCTGCCCCCTCCCGCCCACCCTCTCTCTCCCTAAAATAAATACATAAATCTTAAAAAATATAAATTCCAAACATAGGGGCACCTGCCTAGCAAAGTTGGTAAAAGCATGTGACCTTGATCTCTGGATCGTGATTTCAAGCCCCATGTTGAGCATAGATCTTAATAAATAAATAAATGAATAAATGTAGCACTTACTTAATTCAAAAAAATAAAAATAAATTCCAGACATGACCTTCTCCTTTGGGGAAACTCTGAAGGCCTACCTCTTGCCTGTTCCTGGACCAGCTGATTTGTGTTTCTGGGCTGCTTTCTGGCCTCAAGTTGCCCTGCTCCTTCCTGTTCCTTCATGAAGACACCAGCTGAATGTCCTACAGTTCAACTCAGTTCTGACACTGTCTACCCAGAGTTAACATCACATCTCACAGGTTAAGGGCTCAGTCCCACAATACTGCTCCCACTTTGGATGCC